TGAAACAGTCTGCTGTACTCACATTTAAGAGTGAAATGTTCGTTTTAATGTAATTGTTACAATTATTACTTATGATATTAAGAAATTGCGTGTTTCTTCTTTGTATTGAAATTATAGAAAAAAATTGATAGAAATTATGGAGGATCCAAAATTTGTGTCAGTCGATTAAGCTCAATTGTGCTTCAACATTTCGTATCATTTTTGAGAAGAATTTCATTTAGTAAAACGATATCAATCGTTTGAAAGAAACGAACATTTCTCTGACTGAGAATGTGTATAAATTGTATTCAATTTCAGGTTGATTAAAGTTTTAATAATTTTTTGGGGAAAATAACAGTCAGTCTGTCAACGTTAATTTACGAAATTTCCGTCATTTTTAAAGAAATTTATGTAGAAAAGAATGTGGAATCGAATTAAACATTTTATTGAAAATTTGCTAAAAAAGTGTCCTGAAATTAATTTTATCTAAAATAATTAGAAACGGTAATAAAAACAGCAATTAAAATAAGAGATTTGCCCGAAGTTAATGTCTTGGAAAGCATAGTTTGTCAGAGAGGAAATCGAATAATATTTTAGAATATGATTTTTTTAAAAATTTCCTTTAAATTTCTAATGTGTATTTACTTTTGTTGCACACTCAGTGAAGAAGCTCGATGCTGTCGTGACAGAGGAGTTTAAATTCTCTCGAAAACTTATATTACAACGTAATGAGTCTCTTGGGTGCTATTCCCAAGAAGAAGAATGCGTATATTTTATCCTACACAACGTTTACACACGTTCACTGTTTCACTATCTTCCTCGAAATTCTAAATATGAACTGTTTTGTAATGCAGGATGACAAGAGGATTTGACATACACAAAAAAAAAAGAAAAGAGAATTCCATTGCAATTGTAAAAATACATATGCATTATGATACATAAATTGCCTTTTCTACCTTCAACCAAAAAAAAAATAACTTGTTACACTAAATTTTCCCTGCGCCCATTCCACTCTTCGCTACTAGCGAAAGAAGTTTTAAATTTGCGACACACCACTCGTTCGTTCTGCAACCGGAACGAAATCTATCGCTGTACGATCCGCCACTCGACGTGGAATTAAACGTAAGACGAGCATTCGTTACGAAGTTCCGTGGCGTTTGTAGATGCAACATGTCATTCCCTGCCGGTGAAATGCAGCCGGATCGTATTCATTCTGCTTTGCACAATTGCGCGACGACATGCAGCTCGCCTCTTGAAGCGAGAAAGAAGAGATTCGCGGGACAAAAGGCGAGGATTGGTTAAAAGCAAGGCACAAGGAGAGAGAGAGAGAGAGAGAGAGAGAGATCGGAAGCCGATGTATTACGCCCGGTTGCAATCGCCTTACGCGGTATTTTAGGGGTGTTCGGTCCTTCTGTGGCGACCATTAGCCGCTGCTGTCGAGGCCGCGTAACTTATGATAATGAAAATGTCCCGGCCATGGTTGACAGCATGGTCCTGTCATTTAGAAGCAACGGGAAGCGAAACTCGCGATGTTCCGTGTCTTTCGTTCCGAATATCGTAAGCAGCTTTCCGTGAGCTGCTTAGGTTGTAACAGCCATCCTCCACGCCGGCCGACAAGTTCTTTTGACCCGGTGGTTGCGTTGCGTTTGTCCCCTGTGCGCATTTCGAGAAAAAACTGGGCACAAAGGGCCACTTGCTTCATCTACATATGTATATGCACACACATACACACACACATACGGGATAAGTCGGCGATAGTGGTCCAGCGGTGTCTGCGAGGTTCTTGTTCTCGTCGGTCGAACGGATTTCTCATCTGTTTCCCACGTAAGAAGGTCTCCATCGGGCGATATTGTTGCAAGGTAGCGTTGTCCAAGATACATCGGAGATTCGCCAGCGAGGATTTGAAGTTTCAAGGAAAGATTGAGTTTTATACAACGGGAAATAGATGAACGGTGAAATTGAAATTATTTTTTTGTCAACGCGAGGATCGTTGTTTAGATGCATGGGGGATGATGTTAGATTCACGAGCGAGAATTTGGTGAAGTTTCAAGAAGGAGCGGATCTTTATGTAACGTCATAGGGATAGATGAACAGTGGAATTGAAATACAATGATCGTTGTTTAGATGTATGGGGCACGATTCCAGATTCGCGAGCGAGAATTTGGTGAAGTTTCAAGAAGAAGAGGATCTTTGTGTAATATATATAAGGATAGATGAGTAGTGAAATTGAAATTACTTTTATAACACGACGATCGTTGTTTAGATGTATGGAGGACGATTTCAGACTCGTGAGCGAGAAAGAGAGCTGGAAATCTTTGGGAAATGAGATAGAATTTTAAGCAATGGAATTGAAATTACTTTCACAACAATGAATTTCTCTATAAATTGGCGTAGGTGGTTCAGTGATGTTTGTAAGATTCTTATCTTGTTTCGAAAGAACGAAAAAAGGTTTCCGTCCAATAATGATATTATTAAAAGATGTTGTTGTATATATTGCATGCATTGATTTGAGATCCGTGAATGACGATTTGGCGAAATATGAGATATAATTTGAAAAAAAAAAGAAAACAGTGGAATTAAAATTATAATCTGAAATTATTGAAGGAGAACGAGATATAAAATTCAATATACCGTCGATTGATTCCACGTTGCGTTAATCATCTCATTGTTTATAAACACATGATTTTTCAATCCCTTCGAAGTCGTCAATGAACTTATTATTGGACACTTGTTAATAAATAATCAAGTAGAAACGATAAAACGGACAATAAAATTCGATTTTGTTAAATTTATAGCCTAGCCATTGATAGAGAGCAATAATAAATTATCCTGCGAGCTGCCAGCGAGGAAAATGTATTTTCCTCTCACCGGGATAGCAAAAGGGTTCTCACTTTATTTCACTTGGCGAGTGCACAAGTCTCAGGGGTGCCCGAGAAACTGTAGATTTGTTTTCGTGTTATGCACGACGTGGACTTCGCCGAGTTAAGATTTAGTTTGTAAGGTAGTCGATATATGCGTAGCCATCGTTGGAGTTGCCATCGCAAGTGCAGTTCAATTTTGATCTTAATCAAGTTTGCCCTTTTCAAACTTGGCTTTCTAACTCGATCAATCTCCTGCTGACGAGGATAATCTTAACAATTTCATCACGTTCTTGCGCGAATCTCTTCTCGACAACTAAACTAGGCTCGATGTCACGTTTTATAATTTTGTTAACAAGTTACGATATAAAAGTCCGGCAGCTCGCGTCTGCAAACTTTGCCAGACGCGCTTAACTATAATCTCTTTCGTGCATTTGGAAAGCGCAAAGCTACTAAACTTTAAACACAGAAATCGATCGTTTTGTTCTAATTTCGTTTTTCGCGCGTTAAACAAAGGAATTTTAATCTCTCAATGGATAGATTAATTTCTGCTTTTTAAATGCTCTTTTTGATGAAGCGTTTTATTATGCCGGGTGTTAAGAGAAAACAACCTGTTAAGTTCAGAGATCTAAGTCTTTATAAAATAATACGAGAAATAATGAAGAAATCTTCGACAAACGATATCGCGAAGAACAATAATAGTACATATAAAATAGTTTTATTCATCAAATAATACATACACTGGCAAATATTCTAATCTTCCTAGTTTTCTTTCAGATAAGTTCGAATACGAGAGATAATTAAATAAACTGCGGAGTTTTATGCATTTATGAAAAATTTCGAAGAACGATATATAAAATACCCGAGGCGGGACATTTATTACATTTGTTACATAGAGCAAACTTTTAAATTTAGATTCCATCCGTGAAAACAAATAAAAACGCATAAAAGTCCTCGGGAATCTAGTACTATTACTCACAATAAATACACATCACGCGAGTCGTTTAATCATTCATTTTACG